TTAGTATGTCGCGACTGCACTCTGCAAACAGTGGGAAAACAAGGGTTGTGAATTGAGAATGCAAGAACGTGCACTGGTAATCGTATCTGCTATCCGTTCTGCTCTTCGCTCTGTCTCACTGTTCTTTGTGTGTTTAAAGTTAGGATGCATGACGTCTGGGCAGAGCAGCGGGAATAAGCTTGTGTACTGAGCTTTTCTTTTCATAGGCCAGTGCCAATCTTTTATCCCAACACTGGCCTTACATAAGGTTTCACCCAACAGTGTTGATGTCTAGCAGTCTTCAACTGCCACGTCTGTTTTCTGAAATAGAATATATATTCCACAGTGTATTTTTGAAAGGCCTTCTTTAGTGAAGTTTGAAGATTATGTAGTCTGTGTCTTCTGAGTGTGGTTTGGCTTTCCTTTCTTCTTTTCAGCTGTGACCTGTTTATAACAGCACTAGACTCCTTCAATGCATTTTTATTAATGCAGCATTGTAACTTCATCTATTTCCCATGCCTGAGGAAAATCACATTTGCAGGGTCATACCATCTTTTTGATCTAGTCATATAACAATTCATCTCTTTCTGCTAAGTCATCAGTTCTGATCGTCTGCCAGCTTCCTTGCTTCTGTGTATCAGTTTTTGCAGACAGGTAACTGAAACGCTGTTCCTTGATGAAGGAAGAATATGCTTGCCACCTTTCAGAAAAGGGAAGCAAGATTTTCTTGATAAGGTTTAAAGGCACAATATGTTAGAAATACAACAGAAAAAACTTTTTTTTACCATCCTGTAATCGGGATTTACTCGATCCTTGGTACCACCCTGGGCAAAGAGCTTCTGACAGCACAGATTGACTGGTTGTCTTCTGTATAATTGAAAGGTGTCTGACAGATTTCTGGATTTCTGTAAAGTTGTCTTTAGTGATTGTGCTTCTTGCTTCTCTATGTTCAGAATTGTAGTGATATGTGGATGTGTTTTGTGATTTTTATTTTTTTTCTTCAGACTGAAGGTTTCACACAGGTGACGTGGCGTGACAGCATATTTAAGAAGTGCGGAAGTAGAGGAAAATGATTTGGTGTGTTCTGTATCTGTTGCAGTGTGTTAGCTGAAAGAACAGTTGTTTTGGCAAGGCTTGCCATAATTTATTTACTCTTATTCAAGGATCATCTAAACCGCGTACTGTTATTGCAGTTTTCGCAGCTTTCCCAAGCACAAGCTAGGGAAGCTTATGAAGACTGCAAAGGACAGGATGTAGAACTCATCTTTTTCCTGCTTTTCCAGCTCAGTAACTGTATTTTCTCTTCCAGAAATGGGAACAAATTGAAAGCAATTCTAAACTGAGGCACGTTGGCAGCAACCTCTGTCTAGACAGCCGAAATGCCAAAAATGGTGGTCTCACCGTTGAGATCTGCAGTCCTTCTTTGTCACAACAGTGGAAATTCACACTTAATCTGCAGCAGTAGAAGGACTTACAAGCAAAATGCTGTTTCGATTCATAGACGTTGGGCAAAGTTTTGATTGAATTACTGATGTATTTCTTAAAACTTTCCACGGAACTTATATACCTCAGTATTCCACCTTTATCTGAAAGTAGGAGAGTGCTGAAGCAGACACCAGGGATCGAGGGGACTTGGAGCACTGCAAAGATGTCGCTGAACGTGACTGCAGCACAATTCCTTCTTGGTGTGAAGACTTTAACGGTTCCTTTCTGTCTTCAGTTATGTACTTGCACAGCAGATAATTAACTCTAGGAACAACTGATGTATGATAAAAAAAGGATCTGAAGAAACACCTGTGGGGAACAGGGTGTGGGAGGGGAGGGTGGGAAAAATTGCTAGGAGAAGGTCGTTTGAAATCTCCATTTGCATAGAAATCACGGTTTGTCATTTCCAGAAACAGAAGTGTCGTTTCGAAGGGTTTTTTTTTCTCCTGTGTGTACTTGGTAATTTGAATATGAACTTTTCTATGATGGACTCTAAATATAAATATATAAAAGTATATATATTGTCAGCTCCCAACGATTTATATCAGTTTTCATCATCCTATAATTATCAACAAAGTGATTGACATATGTATAACCAGAAATGGGATTGGAATGCTAGGAGAGTGAAACTTTATGAAGGTGCGGATTTTGTGCTGCTGAGTATGATGTCCGTGCTAACACTGGATGCTTTTGCTTTGCAAACTGGATCTACTTCTTAACACTTCACCCTCACTGGAGATCGTCACACTCAGGAGGAGAAACAAAATAGCAGAATAAGCCAATGCATCTGCACAGATGATTGCTCGGATTGTTTATTCCAACTTGGAAATTCATGACATGCTCTGGATAACGTTAAACTTGTACTTGATATTTGTGTTGATCATTTCTGTAGTACTTTGTCTTTAAAATACTTCTTCCTTTGTTACAAAATTATATAAAAAGCGCAGATCTTTCATGCAGCCGTGTGGGTTCAGCACAGTTTTATTCTGGGCCCTAATGAGAACAACTTCTTTGTCTCAAACTCCCCTTCTGAGCTGTAGAAGTAAGATAGCATAGTAACATCACTGTCGACAGCACGGAATCTGAATTTTAATTTGCAAGGATGAGCAGCTATGTAATATCTCTGAATTGCACTTGCTTAATTTATAGACCTACTACTGGGGAATTCTCTTCCGTTTTGTTTCTTTAAATGGAGCTTTTGAATGGATTCAGGCTTGGCTCTGGGAATCAGCCTGGGTACCAGTGGATCCTACGTGTTTTTAACCATAGAACCCGTGCATTTTGCAGCTTCAGTCTAGCTGATGTCATTTTTGTATTAAAATAATACTGTCAAAGTTAACCCCAACTTTGACCTGTCCTTTCTTATGTTTGCATAGACTATATACTTTTTTATTAAAAGCAAATGCTTCGATGACCTTTTAAAATGAAAAGGAAAGGTAAATAAGTATTAATAAGCGAGGCAGCATTGACAAAAATTAGTGCAGACGTGCAGTGTCAGGAAGTGGTTTTGGTAAGATGATGGATCTCGGAAAAATGTAAGGGTTGATCATAAGGAGATGAAAAACATCTGCTGTACTGCAGTATGCTGGTACGGTTCCCCTCTTTCTTTGTTCCTGGAAGTAGAGTAGTTCCCGATTCTTCAGTTTCCTTTGGCTGCATCTATACATTAGGGATAGAGATGGTACTCTTCTGGGCAAAATGGCTTTAACTGTGCCAGTCAGTGTGCCCATAAACACCTTGTGTGTCTGAAGTTATGACTTGCAAGTACCTGCATACCTTTTGGATGGGGGCATTAAATCCAGTTTCTCCCATCCATCATCTGACGTTTTTTATGAATAATTAATACTTTTTTTTTTGCTTCTTCGCAGTCCACTTTCTCTAAAACTTGTCTGTTTTAGAGGCCATGCAGTGGATACACTGTTTTTCAGCTTTCAGTCTCTCCCTATCTGTAGCCTTTTAACCTAGCTGAGAACTTGAGGAACGTGATTCAGAAACATAGCAGTAGATTTCTTCATGTTCTGGAAAATAAATGCTGAAATTTGGGCTCAGCAGCAAGACAGTTGTTTGAGGTTTTGAAAAACAGAACTTAAAAGAAAAAAAAACCCCAACCACTCAGCTTCTACCACGGAGGCATTCCCATTTGCAACTTTGATCATAGTAAAGGTAGTACTAACTGGAATCAACAGTTGCAACTCTGAATACTGACCTGCCTCTTGACTCTGGATCAGAATTGCTGGTAAAAAAAAAAATAATCCGTATTCCACCTCTTAAGTCTTTAATGTCAACTGCTATCGTATAAAGTAGGAATATTTTCACTAATTCCCCATGGATGCTGTGCATAGGGGTTTTAATATAGGAGCTGTACCTAAAGACAACATTGCTTTTCTTTGAGAGAACAGACAAGAAGTGGTATCCTTTTGTTATGTTTACATGACAGTGTGCCAAAGTTACTTACTGTGATTTTAGGGGGTTTTAATGTTGAAGAAATTCTCCCATTTGAAAGATAAGTTAAGAGCCCTTGAAGCAAATTGCGATGGAGTGTCCTGAGAACGTTTCTTACCGTCTTCAGAGCAAGAATGTTGATATTGTTTGTTTTGCAGATTTTCAAAACATAGTTTGGAAACTGTTTTTTCAGTTGGTTTGAAAAGTCTGCTGTACAGAGCTTGTGCTTTGTTCATTTTATAGATGGAAACCATCCTTGAAAAATTGTTTAACTTAAATAAAGAAGAATGCTTTATAGATAAATGTGTGGTGGCTCATATAACTGAGTAAAACCAAGTCGTCTGCCTGGAGCTTGTAGATTGAAGTGGTTTTCAAATGCTTCGGTTCACTTGGTTGTTTCATAAAGTTCCTGTTCTGAAAGTGTGTATATGGGGGTGTATATTTGCATTTATGAAAAGAGGATTTGTTTGTATTTAAATTAATATGATAACTTTGAGGAAATTGTCTTATTTTAGAAGCTGCTTTACATTGAGGAGTGAGTTAACACTGACTGTAGTCACCTGTAAATACTCTGTCAAGGCACCCCGCTCCTGCCCCATGAGGCCTCATCTTCTCGCCACTCCCACTGTCCCTCTCCTGGCTGCCAGAAGCCGCTATGCCAAGCGTGGCAGGGCCTCCTGCAGCCCGCAGGATGGTGGCAGCGGCAGCTCTCGTAGTTGATTGGGGTGCCTGTCCTCATCTGCCCGTGTTGTCTTTCTGCTCGCTGTTGTGCGGGGTAGTAATTCTGGTGTCTGTGGTGCACTTGAAGCTAGCTTTCAATACTCCGTATTTAAAACAAAAAAAAGACCTTTTTTTTTTAAGAAAGGTATTTTGGGGCCAAACACTTCACAGGTCTAGTTTAGAGAGCTTGCAAATGAACTTGCACCGGCACAGTTGGGGAGGGAGCAAATCCTCCATGGTAGGTGATGGACAGCCGTGAAGGCGAGATCCTTCTACTGCTGTAAGAGTAACAACCTCACCTTGGCAGAAGTGGGCTGCAAGCCAAGCAGGTAGGGGACGGTACGATGCTCTCCGGGAGGGTCAATGGGAAGCAGGAGAATGAATGAGGTAAAAATCTCATCTCTGACGTTTTGTCCAGCTTCAGAGACGCCTCAAGTCAGTTCTTGGGGCACATCCTTCTTTCCCACTCTGTGGCATATAGGACTAGGATCTTCGCTACTGGTCTAGGAAACGTAGCTTTCCAGTTAGTTCCAAGGATGTGTTCAGCTAGCATAACCTGCAGAAGCATTTACAGGGAAGATTTAAACACTTCTACTCTTAATTGTACCAACGGGAAGACTTTTACCTATCAGGCTGTAGGAAAGGAGAGTTCTTGGGTGCAAACTTACTCTCCCTGTGTGCCAGAAGTCAGTGACTAGTTGGCATCTTTCAGAAAGTCTAAAATAAATCAAGCAAATAAGATCTTTAATATTTATGGTTGGCAAAAATTAAAAGGCCCTGTCAAACTGCAGTAAAAAAAAAAAGACACAACCTTGCATTTGCAGATTATATCTGAGAACTCAAATGAGGATTCTCCATCTGAAATGCCCTTTGACACCTGTGAGCCGACAGGTAATGCTAAAAGGGTAACTATAACAGAATTCTGGCAGTAGAAGCTTTTCATCTAATCCAATGTTAAATGTAGAAGTGTCTCTCATATGTCTCTTCCTAGAGTCTTACACGTTTGCTGTGCATACTGTTCTCAGTAAACTTAGTATAAGTATCTGGACTGAATGAACCATCCAGCAAATTTTGCATTACTTCTGACCAGGACTCCACTGTTTCCTTTGCCTTACACCCAAGTATATATATGAAAAAAGTTTCCCGTCCAGTGTAACTCATTTTCTGGAGTCTCGGGTCATGCTTTTTAGCCAGTTTCTACGCATGGGTTTACTCTGCTTGCCTATCACTGTGCATAAAACCAGATATATTTATACCCCTTTTATAAGAGAATGTTTAATCTTTCCTTTTTGTGGATAAACAAAAACATATTTTAAATACTGAGTTTTCAAGAGGATGCCTGTGTGCGTTTGGAAAGGAAGCTGAATACTGGGAGAGATTAAAAGGCTGTAATCTGCTTGAGGTAAGGACTGTTGTCTTGTTTAAGGTGGGTCCTATAGAGCATTGTCCAATTCTTGTCTGGGGTGTTACTGCCATAACCTTAGTTATTTTAAAATGTTATATTTTTGTATGCAAATACCAACATCTACTTTGCCTTACTTAGCTGTATATTAAATTTAGATACTCTATAAAATTCATGTGGTCCTGAGTTGCATGCATGCATCACCTGTGTCCTCATCCAGCCTGAAATACAGTGAATAATTTCATAGCAATAACTTGTTATGGAACACTCTAGCAATGGGCTTGTTCCTGTACAGAATGATTTAGGATGAATAGAAACCACTGAAAAAAATAGTCTGGGATAATAAGCCATGATTACAGAATGAGCACAAATGTCAGGGTTGCATCTTTTGTTAGACTGCACATTTTATTTACAGCTTAACCTCCAGTAGCTATTTTAAGATCTGCTAGTAATCAAGCTTAAAAATTGGGAATAAAGTCAGTCCACAGATGTTCTCTCTCTGTACAGCCCTCCAAGAGGTTGTCTGAATGGGGGCAAAATACCCTTTTGATTTGATTTGATTTCTTGCAGCACAGCAGCGTGTTGTTGCTCTGTATGCAGGAAGAGGGACCTGTTTGATTTCAAGTCCCAGCAGATGTTTTTAATCCAAGGATTTTTTGGGGGGTTTTATTGAAAAGGATCTGGCAGTAGCAAATACCCATGTTTTCTGCCATATCTGTATTAATTAAACCTCACCTTTAGTAATCTGG